CCCCCTTGCTATATAGCTCTGTTTTATCACGGAAGAAAGTGAAGCTCAGGGAGGGGGAAACTTGTAGATCTGAGAGTCCTCAGTGATTGCTGGGGCTGTGAGAGCAGAGAAGGGCCAAATGTGGGGAGTAGGGGACACAGAGGCAGAGAAGCCCCAGAAAAGCACCAGGTCCTGGCAGCAAGTAAGACGAAGAAGAGGTCACAAATGAGAAGTCACAAGCAGCGTCCAGCCCAGATTGTTCTATGGGGCCAGCATAATTAAAAACTACAGGCACAGATATTTATTATGAAATATGATTATTTATTAAAAGAATCCCAAAATAGAAAACAGAAAAAATAATCTCCCTGACTCCTGCCCTTGCCCATAGTATTGATATTCTGATTTTTTTTCCCTAATTAAATAAAACCTATATACAGGGGTTTTTTTTCCCCACATAAAGTCAAATCAAGGTATCAAAATTATAGTCTTGAATTCAGATTAAAGCCTTTCCTCATTGGGCAAGGGAAACTTTTAACCAAATGCAAGCTGGACCACTGAAAAGTCTGAGATGGAGTCAGAATGAACAAGGGGTCCTTGTTTTTATTATTCCTGGAAAGAGCTCCTCAAAGGCAAGGCCACGGTTTCATGGAGGGAAATGGCACTCCAGGCCTTAGAGGTCAAGTACCACTTGGCCTCTGTGTTCTCTGTTATCATGGTACCTTCAAAAGTTTTCAAATTAGCAGCATCTCACTTTGGGTTCCCTCAAAGGCAGACCTTGAGACCAGGGTTTGGGAGCAAGTTGTTGATTTACAAGGTGCTCCAAGGAGTGGGTAACTCCCTGATCAGCGCAAAGACCAGAAAAATACCCTCAAGCTGGGAAACACAGCGGCTTGAGGGAGGAAGACTTTGGTGTATAAGGGAACTGTCCACTTACACTGCAGCGATCTGAGCTGAGGAATGGCTCCTTCCTCGGGCAAGGAGAGCCTCTGCTACCACTGTCTGCCGATTTAAAAATGTTAAATCGGCAGACTTCTCACAAAACTCTGGCTTTCTGACTTTTCATAAAAATATCCAACAATCTGGGCTTGCCTTCCCACATAGAATGCCAAGCTGTTGCCCCAGCGGGGCACTTGCTCTCTACTGTGCCACAGTCCCCGCCACTCCTTGATGTCTCCTGCCTGAGGCCAAGAGTTAGGTTTTTGCTTGTTTGTTTTGTTCTTTAACAACCAGCCCACTTCCCTCCTCTACATTACCTGCCTGGCCCCTCCAGGAAGGAGCCTGAGTTTGCTATCCTTTGAGGAAGAGGCAGGCTGATGCTGCACATACAGGCTAAGTAGCCTTCAGGTTGGCGTTTAGTTTCCTGGGACCAAACCTTCAAATATGAAGCTGTAACAGGAACCTGGAGGCCTCTCTTGACAACCTGCCCAGCTCTCATTATGACATTTAGCCTGTGATTGATATGGTATGTGTCATCGAGACCTTGGCAGTTAATCTCTGGGTCGAATCTATGGAAACCAAACAGAACAGATTTGTCTTCCCCTTCCATTTTGGCTGTGATCTGGGAAACAGACACTCCTGGCCTCTCGGAGATTCAGAGATTTGGGAGCCATGCAGAGAGGGATGCACACGGGCCGCCTTCAGGATTTGGAAAGATTACAGGTCTGTGGTTTCTGGACGGCTCTGCGCTTTGTTCTCTTCCCCCATCAGATCTGCACGCTGGAGGATAATAGATCCCAGAGCTCCCTCTGCGTGCCAAGCCGCTCCGGGTAGACCACACCACTTCCTCTTCTGTCTGGAAATCCAGCCGAGGCTTTCAGCACAGGGATGGGGAAGGGGACGGGGATGGCTCCTTCCACAGTATAATGAAGGAGGACCAGCCTTAGCAAGGGTGAGGTCCACTTCAGTGAGCAAAAGTGGAAGGCAGAGGTTCAGAATGCAGTTACTCCAGCATCTTCCTAAAATCCCTTCTTCTGCAGCCTCCTCTGGCGGCAGAAGGATTCAAAATGGTCTAAACCTCCAAATTTACATAAATGGTGCCCAGCTTCGACTCACTTCGACACAAGAAGAGCTGGTGCCATGGACGGGCTGAGCTCCAGATCTTTCAAAACTCAGGAGCCTTGGGTCTGTAGCGGGGAGAGCAGGTCTATACTCCTGGGAGACTGAGGGGTCTGGCCGGCTCCCCCAGCAGAAGTTTCTGGCCATTCCTTGAAACAACGCCTCCCTTGGTGACTGTGAACGCCAACCCGCTACAGGGGACTGTCCATCCTGCATCCTGCTCTTCACTCACCCTCACCTCCTCCAAACTAGCCCAGAGGCTCTGTCCTGCCCCATCAGCTCCAGCTGAGCCCTAACACAGGGCCCACAATCTCATCTATTCACTCATTCCATTCACTCCCCAGGCCATTCTTTCGCTCAGCAAATACTTTCTGAGCACCTCTTACATCTCAGACGCTGAGGCTGTGACTTCAACGTGGCTCAAAGGAGCCATTTCAAGGAGCCTCGTAGTAAGGCTGCCCAGCCCTCCTTCGTCCCAGCCCCACACCCTTACTTTGGGCGAAGGACCTTCAGAGAGAAGATAGAAAGCATACGAGCCTTCCTGCCCTTCTCTTGACTCAACAGCTCCTTGACTCTTGAACCACATTCTGTGGCAATTATTATCAAATGTTAGTCAGCATCAGACTCACCTGGGAGCTTGTTAAAATACGCATTATTGACTCCTACGCCCCACCCCTGGTCCAGCCTGTAACCAGGAAATCTGTATTTTTAGCAAGTGCCAGATGATTCTGAGGGAGGTGGGCTTTAGGTCACCCCTCGACAGACTCCAAAGTAGGGTCGCGTCTGCAGCCATTGTCCCCACCCCTCAACTCAGAATTCTGCAGGAGAAAGTCATAGATCCTGGCCTCCCACGATCCCCAAAGATACTGTTAGCCAGTGATCCTTTAATTCATCTAGGGTGAACTTGGGAGAATCAAATTTCCCAGAGTGGTAGTTTCAACCCTTTCCTTTTCTTTTAAAAAAAATTTAATGAGAAATTTCAAACACACACAAAGAGAAATGGTAACTACCTTGGACCCGTCATGCATGGCCAATCCTGCCTCATCAGACCGACAAGTATATCCCCCACCCCACGCACAATATACCATTATGTCTTCCAATGGTATTATTTTTGAAGCAAATCCCAGACATTATATCATTTCATCTGTGAACATTTCAGTATGTATTTCTAAAAGATAAGGCCCTGCGGTATAATTTAATTGTCCTTCGAACCTCCTGCAAATTGGTTGTTAGATCTAGACTCTGAGGACTCTGATCAAAGATTCAGGTTTCCCTTTGGCGAGACTACTTTGGTGGTGGTGGAGGTGCGTTCTTCCATCAGAAGGCCTGGAACGTCTGATCGTCTCTTTTCATGTTGCTAGCAGTCAGTTGTCAGTGCCCACATTCATCAGCTCATCAGGTGCTGTAAAGGGGTGACTTCTTCCTTCTTTATTACCTGGAATTCTTCTATAAAAGAAAACTCCCCTCATCTACCCAGTAGTACAGTGTGTATCAGAAAGGAACGACAAATGCTAGATTCTTTCCCTTCACTGACCTGTCTCCAAAACGAGCTGGTTCCCTAGCGTCTTCCGTCAGTGAATAATTGTTTTAAGTATCATTATGATTTGAACGTTTGATGCGTTTCTATCAACAGCAGTTATTTTTCTTATTCGTGTTCTAGTTGCTCCATTACTGATGAGTGGGAACCTCTTGGAGGTGTGTTCTGAGTCCTTCCCAGAGGATCCTAGTGGTCTTTGAAGCTGCCAGGGCTTTTTCACATTCTTTGTAAGTCCCAGCCTGCTCCTCCTTGCGCTGCAGCCTCCACCCCGATCCCCGCCCTCTCAGCAACTACTTTTTTCTCAGAAGACTAACACCTTGTGTCACAAACATTTATAATTTTCCTCATCTCCAAAATGGAGATAGTCATAGTACCTATTTCTTAGGGTTGTTAAGATTAAATGAGTTAATAATAGTTGTAAAGCACTTGGAATAGTGCCTGGCACAAAATAAGAGCTACATAAGTATTTGTTAAATAAATGAATAACACTCCCTTCCCATCACTCACCCCCACGTTTCTCAGTCACTCCTCCCGCTCCTCCTTCCCTCCAGTTCAGAGCACAAGTTAATCTCCCTTCCCAGGCTGCCTGAGTGCAGGTGTACCAGTCACTCAGCCCACGGAACACGTGGTGCCTGCTTCCACAGTGAATTCATTTCCTTGGGAACAATGGAAACTCTTCACCCACATTCCACTCACAGAGACTGGCAAGCTCTCCAAATACACGTTCCAATCTGTAGACACAGCTTTTGAGCTTGGAACGTCTCTTCCAAAGCCCTGGTAAGTTAGCACAAAGGCCAGCCTCCCAGTGTGAAAGCAGCCAACATTGACTTCAACTTCCTAGCAAGTTGACAAACCCTCATGCAGCCAAGTTTCCTTCCACCCCAAGACTTCTGAAGCCCTGAGAATGTGGTGTGGCTGCCCAGACCACACACGCTCTGGATTTCCAGGTGTGCTCTTTCCACGGGACAACAGCTTTCTGCTGATGTTGAACACCATGGGCCTGGAATTCCAAGGACCTTCTGGGCCTGTTTATACGGGTTCAAAACGGCCCAAGGCAGCAGATTCCAGTCAGACCAAGGAAAGAGTAGACACCAAAAAAAGGGGGGTAAAATTGAAAAGAAAGGAGCCAGGGAAGGGGAGTTTTTAGACCCGAAACCTGTCTTGGGTCTGCGGCAAATGCACGTCGGCCCATGTTAGGGGGCACCCAGCATACTTGCTCTGTGGGAGCCTGGAATGTTGGGGAAGTGTTTAACCAACATCATGGCCTTCCTTGTTGACCTCTGCAGCCTGGGGTGAGGAAGCAGGAGCCCAGCAGGCCGGGCACATGCCTGCCGAAAGTTCAGACCCACCTACCCTAACCCCTTTTCCTAAAGCCCCTTCCCTACCTCTGTCCCTGCTAACCTCAGTCCTGACCCTCTCTCATGACCAGTTGCAGAAAGGAGAGAAAATCCCTTGGCTCCAAAATGACATCCAGAGAACCAAAGACAAGCCTCCAGAATGCCTACCCGTCTGCCAAGAAGCTGCTATTGAAGGTGGAGGAGGAGGGGGAGATGGAGGATTACTGCACCCCAGGAGCCTTCGAGCTGGAGCGTCTCTTCTGGAAGGGCAGTCCCCAGTACACCCATGTCAACGAGGTCTGGCCCCAGCTCTACATCGGCGACGAGTAAGTGCCCAGGCCCAGCCTCACCTTCGGCCTCACCCAGGAGGAGGCATCCAGCCTTCCCCAGGGCACAGCACTCGCCACCTCCTCACCATGAGCTTTTGTTTTTTAGGTTGGTTCTGTGAGAACTCTTTTAGTTAGGGCTGGGTTTACTTTCATATTACAGAAAACTCAGAAAAGGGGCTTAAGCAAGATAGAGGCTGGTTTCTCTCTCACGTAAAAGAAGTGCAGAGGAAGGGGAACGGGGGCTGGCTCGGCGACTCCAGGGTCCTCGGGGCTTTGGCTCCCATGCTTGGGCTCCGCCATCCCTAGGGTGTGGCTTACCTTTTTCAAGTTTGTTTCATGGTCTGAGATTGCTGGTAGGGCTCCAGCCATCAACTGTAGACTCTGGACCACAAGAAAGTACAGGGAAAGGAAGAGCAAAAGGATATCTTCCCGAAGGGAAGTCCCGCCCAGGACTTTTGCTGCCCCTAGCTGCAAGGGAGGCTGGGAAATGTAGTTTTCTATTTTCGCTGGGGATAAGACCAGCAGGAATAAAGTCAGTTCTCAGGGTGGTTAACACAACAGCACAGCAACCCACGTGTCAAGAAGTGTGACCTAGCAAAGTTGAGGTCATGTCCCCTCCTCTAGATTTTTATAGCCACCATTCCTCACTCTTCAAACAATTGGGAAGTATCTACATTAACAATAGTAATGCTTATCATTTTTGAATATTGTGTGCCAGGCACTGTGCTAAGCATCTTGCATGCATGATCTCACTTTTTCACCATAGTCCAATGAGAAAGATGATCTAATTACTCCCATTTTGAAGATAAGGAAACCAAGGCACAGAGCACTTAGGAAACTGGCCCAAGGTCCACAGCTCACTATGTGGCTGAATGCTGGGATTCAAATGCAGTTTTGCCTAACCCAGGAGTTTTCATTCTGACACACACCCCTGCTCCTCCCTCCATTCCCCAGGATTCCAGCTCATGGTTTATCTCTCCAAGGAGCAGATGGTGCAGGGCCCCTGCATATGTGATTTTAATAAACACTTTGCTCCTTACAACCTAGACAAAACTGTCTTCTCATGAGGAATCCAAGGGCAACATCCCTTTTCTTTTCTTTTTTCTTAATATTTTTAAATGGAAAAAGTTACAAAAATTACATGCCTTTTAATACTAAATTAAATAGAGGGTTAAAAAAACCAACTGCATAATCTCCCTTTGTCCTCTCTTAATTCTGCCACTGAGTAACCAGTGTAGTTTACTCTATGTATGTTATTGCAAACATAAGGAAACATAAATATATATTTAAAGGATTTTTATTTCTTCTAAATAAATTTTAGGCCCTATCTGGAATACTGCCAGACTCCTGGCAGAGAGAAAAGAGAGACATGGCAAATCCCAGACTGACTCGGAAGTGACACAAGACACTTATGCCCATATTTCATCAGCAAAGCAAGTCCATGCCAAAGCCTCATGACAATGGGGTAGAGAAGTGTAATTCACCCCTAGGGACGGCCAGTGAATATTCTAAAGGATGACACCCAATCTACCGCAGCCACAACCAACTCCAGGTGCAGGGGCTTTGGGCTGGTCTTTTCTCCTTCCTGGGCCTCATCTCTAAAAATGGTTACTGAGAAGATTCAAAGAAACAGTGGAGTGTGAAAGCATTTTGTAAACTATGAAGTAATAGACAAATGCAAATGTTTGTGTTATTATTGCTACTTAGTGAGAAAGAAACCTAGGAAGGTAGGTCAGGGTCAAGGGAGTTTATTCAGGAAGACACTCAGTGTCTGAGCACGACAGAAATGGCCTGGTTAATAGAATGACAGACAACAGGGTTTGATGCAATAAGATATGCTTACCTCCTTGACATCTGACCATAACCTTGCTTCCTTTAACCAAGGAAATGTCACTGACCTTTCAATTCAATCCAGCTCTGCCTAATCAAGCCCTAAGATACACACGCACATGCACAGTCCAGGCAGGCTGCACGATCAGCGTGTGTGACCCACGTGCACCGTGCAGGGAGAGGACTACGGTCAGCATGGCTGGGTGCCTGTCCCCATCTCTGCTCAGGGTCCTCCCTAGACACCCACTAACAGGGTTACTGTGACTCAGAGATGCTGACTGAGAAAGCAGTTAGTCCCGCTGCCAGTGGGACCACACCGAGGTCACACCCTGGCTGAGAGCAGGCACCATTGCTTGTGTTTCTTGGTCTCTTTGTAAGTATTGCCCAAAGCAATGAAAACCTCAGAGTCACCTCCTCATGCACAAAGCCCCGGTTTTAACTTGGTATTTGCATTTAGGTTGAGGTTTTCCTTCCCCTAAAAGCACCTAAGATTTTTAAAAGCCAAGGTTCTAGAAGTGTGGGCAGTCAAGACCCAGGAATGAGAATGGATGTCCTGAGGGCAGCCAGAGCCACCAGCTATTCTGGAAGTCAGACCTGCAACGCCTGGGACCTACTGGGACCATACTTAACCCCACGAAGCAGCTCACTATTTCCCCCTCCTCTCTCCTCAAGGGCCACTTTATGGAGAAAGACAGGATGGCTGGGCATCTGTTCCAGAGCCACGATGTCTGGGTCAAATACTGGTTCCCATGTGGCCTTGGGCGAGTCACTCAATCTTTCTAAGCCTACAAGCTGTGGCTTCAGTGAATTAATACATATGATGCTTTTAGCACAGTTCCTGGCACATCCACTGAGCATGAACTATTAGAGATGTGGTAGGTTCTGGAAATTCGACTCACAGTGTGAGAAGAAGGTGAAGAAAACAGTCAGTGCGCTTTGCCCCTAAGGGTCCCACTGTGCTGAGGGCAGCCCTGGAGCAGGAAACACCCCGGTCCAGTTTCTCCCAGGAGATGCTATCACGAACCCAGGGTCTGGTTGGAAGTAAGGGCCCTCCTAATGGGCCTTCTCCAGCCAACTCCCTCCACAGACACTGTCCTGGCCTTCCAGGGACCCGGGCAGCCTAAGGCCTGAGGAGGCAGAGCTGCATCAAAGCCTTACATGCCTGTGGGTTTCAGAATTTCTAAAGCATTTTCTCAATCCCAGCTTATTCCAAGAAACTTGCCAAATGGGGTGCCTGGTGACTGCAGGTTCTGTCACCTACCAGCCCCAGGAGGTCAGAGATGGCCCCACCATCACCACCACCACAGCCTCATGAGAAGAGGCTATCGGGAGCGGCTTGTGGCTTGTGTTTAGTGTGCTGGGTCAGTGGAGTGGTGGGGAGATCCAGGCCACACAGCCACTTTTTGGATGTCGCTCAAGGGCTCAGGGAGCAGCCATCCCCTCCTACCCATTTCCCACAACTTCGTAGGGGGTCTGAATCTGCCCGTGGGAACGGCAGGGACAGCCTAGAGTAGAGCTAAAGCCCTCGAGTGGGATTCGGGGAACCGAGTTCAAGCCCCCAGTGTGGGTGGTCACTCTGTGTGGCCTTTAGCAAACCATCTTATTGTTCAGGGACTCAGTTTCTTTATTTGTAAAATAAAGGGATGATTTCAAAGGTCCCTTCCAGCTGTAAAGTAACATTCTTTAAGAAATGTCCTATTAAATAGATTATGCTTTATTAGGTTCAAGTACATACTTGTTTTATTACTTTTAAGTCATTCAAATTAGATTCAAATTAGGTTAACCAAGTGTTGCCCTCCAGAGAGCCAGGGACTGGCATCGATGATGAGATAAGAATAATTCATCACCTCTTATCAATCAGCGGTCCCTAAATGGGTGCTTCAAAAGTGCTTGAGGATGCTTGAAAGCAGTAAATTTCTGTAATTTAACTATTCTCACTTTAATCTCATTCACATCTTTCATTTGCTTGGCAAAAATCTTTCCTTCTTTCTTTCCCTCTATAGTCAGCAGGAGGGAAAATACCCTGGCTAATGTCAAAGTGATTGTAAATTCCCAGGCAGGACAGCCTCCCCACAGTAGGGCTTGGCTGAAACAGGATAATTGAGAAATCTCTCTTCCCTCTCATGATAGAGGCATCCCTGTGAGCCAACACCAGGGCTCTGCGAAGCCGCTTTGCTGTGCAAATGGTGGCCTAAGCAGGACCTTATTTTTATTCAAACCACAGTTGCTTCCAAGTTCTGGCTTTGGGGGTCACCGACAGCCTCTCCACAAAGCCTGACTCCCAAATGCCTGTGGCCAGCCTCACCCAGCCCGAGCTGGTTTGCCAGGGGTCTCCCTGTCTTGCCCTTTCTGCTTTCCTGCTCCCAACCAGACCAACAGCCGCAAAAGCCAGCGGCACCTCCAGGGCTGGCCTGTAGTCGAGAAGGCTGGAAAGTGAGGTGAAGCCAAATCAACTGCTGGGACAGTCCTCAGCTTAAGAGAGGACCTCTCATAGGTACACCTGGACAGCCGTTACCTCTCCCCCATGAAAGGAAAAAACTAATTCAGCCTCAAGGCACCAAGTAGGGCTAAAAGTTGACCTGCTTCTCCAGGATGGGGCTGTGGCAGGTTTAGGATGCAGTGAAAACAATGTCAAGGTTGAAGTTTTCACATATTGAATGTTACCTGAAAGAACTAGAAAACCTGGACTCTGAACCTCCAAGTACCGAAGGCAACTGAGGTACAACTGGTGGGCACCAGTCATGGGCAGGGGTCCCAGGGAGAGGAGCCGGTGGCCTTGGCCTCACTGGGCCTTTCACACTGGGTGACAGCTTTGCAGCGTAAGCCTCAAGCAACGTCAGCCATTTCCTTTCACCGTAGCCAAATGCCTCGCCCAATCATTACTAAACAGCATTTCTTGAAACCAAGCCTCCAATGTATTGTCCTTCCCCTCATAGCCTTCATCCTCGGAGGCCTCAAGCAATCCTCAGAGTGGGGTAGATAATGAAGATTTCTAGCCCTTTCCCAGCTGGAACCATGGAAGGTACAGAAGAGAAGAAAAAGAAGGTTCCTGCTGTGCCAGAAACTGTTAAGAAAAAGCAAAAGAATTTCTCAGAGCTGAAGATCAAGCGCCTGAGAAAGAAATTTGCCCAAAAGATGCTTTGAAAGGCAAAGAGGAAGCTTATCTATGAAAAAGCTAAGCACTGTCATAAGGAAACAGGCAGATGCACAGAAATGAAGTTCAAATGGCCAGGATGGGATGAAAAGCAGGCAACTTCTACATACCTGTGGAACCCAGAATGGCATCTGCTATCAGGATCAGAGGTATCAGTGGTGTGAGCCCAAAGGTTTGAAGGGCATTAGGAGCTTCTTTGCCTCCATCAGATTGTCAGTGGCACCTCTGTGAAGTTCAACAAGTCTTCAATTAACATGCTGAGAATCACGGAACCATATATTGCATGGGGCTACCCAAACCTGAAGTCAGTAAATGAACTGACCTACAGGCATGGTTATGGCAAAATCGGCAAGATGCAAATTGCCCTGATAACGCGTTGATTGCTCCATGCCTGGGTAAAAATGGTCTCTGTGTGGAAAATCTGATTCATGAGATCTATACTGCTGGAAAACGTTTCAAAGAAGCAAACAACTTCATGTAGCCCTTCAAACTGTCTTCTCCACCAGGTGGAATAAAGAAAAAGATCCCCCCACTGTCTAGAAGGTGGACATGCTGGCAACAGGGAAGACCAGATCAACAGCCTTCTTAGAAGGATGAATTGAGGTATCTACCATAATTATTGTTGTAATCTGGTCAGTTAACAAACAGTGACTACTTTCAAATTGGAAAAAAAAAAAAGAGAGAGAGAGAGATTTCTAAGGAGCTAAAAACACCGAGACCACCTATGTCTTTGCAACAGTCTCTCCTGAGAACTAAGGACATCACATCAATAAAAAGCATGGTGTATATTCACACACGGAGTGAATATATGATAGGTTCACTAGTGAAATTTTACAAAACACAGATAGGCAAAAAGAAGAAAATGAAAATTCTCTGTCGTCCCATTACCCAGAGACAACCACTGATACCATTTTGTTATACATCTTCCGACTGCTTTTTCTCCCCTGAGTTTATCTTTTAACCTTTCAAAGAAACCTGAGTATTGCATCACTCAACTTTACAAGAATCCTGTAAGGAACGTACTGCCATTGTAATTGGTTCTATTTAACAAATAAAGAAAACGGAGGGGCCCTGAGGCTCCGTTGTTTCGGTTCATGTAGCACTTTACGCTTACAAACTACACCTGTGAGCCCTGTGTTTTCTGAGGGGCCTCATAACCGAACAGCTTCATCATCAGCAAGGAACAAGAACACCCCCTTAATCTTTATATAAAACATACGAACCCATGAATGGAAAAACAACTGGAAGAACTTATGTCAAAAAGCAAACAGTCTATCTCTAGGGAGAAGAAATACAGGTGTTTTTGTGTGTGTGTGGGAGATATGTTTTCCACATTCTGCATGGAGCATGTGCTAGTTCTGTAATAAGATGACTTACTACTTTTAAAATGAGTAGATTACGTACATCTAGGATTTTTCTTAGCCAACCAGAAACTGAGGGTCCTGCATCACCTGGATTCTAGAAGTAACTTCTTTTTTTTTTCTTTTTTGGGAGGGGACATAATTATGTTTATTTATTTATTCATTTTTAGAGGATGTACTGGGGATTGAACCCAGGACCTCATGCATACTAGGCATGCACTCTACCACTTGAGCTATACCCTTCCTCTAGAAGTAACTTCTTAACCCTGTTTTTCTTCTGAGATTTTCTCCTTCAGCAGAGACACATGTCTTAGTCTCTCCCACATATCCGAGCAGGTGGCCCTGAAAGCTAAGAAAATAAAATAATGCAGGGCCAGGCAGCACCCTCTGACCCCACCCCACTCCCAGTAATGGCTGGGCGAGGCGTCTGGGCCCACTGGGGACCTGCCGCTATCACAGCTGCTGTCCCCTAAGAGTCCTAAGGGTCACTCAGTATATTTGCAAATCCCCATTCTGCCATGGACACCCTTCAGAGCCCTCACCTGGACTCTGAGTAAACCAAGCTGGGGGAACCTCCAGAGAGGTGTGTGAGGACACCACCTCCCTTTCCCCACTCAGGTAGCCACAGAGCCTCAAAACCTGCCACAGGTCTCAGATACCCACCAGGTCTAATCCCCCCCCGAGCCCCTTTCTCTCCCTTAGACACAGTCAAAATCAGCTCTGAGGGTAAATGTGGAGGTGTTGAACAATGAGTCCTGCTGCATATCTACCCTGGTCCTTGACCCCCAAAACAGCAAAGTGCAAATTGTTATTTACTCAAACTGCCATTTGATTATGTTGAAAGCCAGCTGCTGAACCCAGGGAGAACAGTCTTTATGGTGGGTAGGAACTTCCTGACAAGGACAGTTAATTTTAATTTTTCCACTGAGCTCAACCTCAAAGTGAGGTTGATTGCTACTCAGCAAGATGGACTGCATTAGTGGAGGCTTTAATTGAGCACAGATCTGTGTCCCCAAAGCATAATGTTTGTTGTATACATACTTTGGGACAAGGAGAAAAATGAAAAACAGACCTTTTGGAGGAAAAATTGGAAGCAGAATGTATTTCGTAGTCAGGATGGCAGCCCCAAAAGCCAGCTGGGGGGCTTGGTGGAACTCCCCACCTCCCCATGCCTCAGCTCCCATGAGCTGTTTGCAAATGTTTCTGAAAGCTCAATGCCTGTGTTTAGGTCTCTTTTTCCAAAACACTGGACTCGATCATGCCTCCTCTCATGACCAACAAAAAGCTCCAGGATGCCAGAGGTAGATGAGGGGCCCTCGGCCGAGGGACCATGGCATATGTTTCTGCTGCACGGAGCCTCCCAGCCCAGGATGCTGACCCATGCTGACATCCAAGACACTCACTTCTGTCCATGTCCTGTGAGTGGCCTTGTGATGAGTCCTCAGCGGGAGCATGCTGCCACTTTTAGTCTCTCACTATTGTGGTTCCACCAGACCCTTGTCCCCTCTTCCCTGAGCCTAAGAACTACTCTTCGTGCTGTTGAGGGAGTTGTCATCTTAAAGCTCAGACAGGATCCCCCTCCTCAAACACTAGCAAAAGGTCTCCCAGACCCCAAATACAGATCCTGACCTCCAAGCACTTCGTGATCAAATCCCACACTCTCTCTTCAAACCTTTTTCTACTCTCCTCTCACATCCTATGCTCTGGCCAAACCAGTCCCCTCAATCCCAATCCATCAGCAAGTCTGCTGTGACTTAGTCCCTAGCCACCTTTCTCTCTTGGCTGTACAACGGTGACGGCCTCCAACAGAGCTCCCCACTTCTATGTTTTTGCTCCTTTCCAACCCAACTCCATGTGTCAGCCAGACTGATCTTTAAAAAAGCAAATAATGCTCACCCCTTCCTTAAACTCCTCTATGGCCTGTGGCATTCCACCATACTTAGAGTAGCATCCAAACACTTCCCTGTGGCCTACAGGTCACACCATGACCCAGCCCCACTTCCAACTTCCTCAGGTACTATGATCACCCTCACTACTACAGCCACACTAATTTCCCTTCTGTTCTTAGCACTTGATGTCTGTTCCCTCTGCCTGGATGAAACACTTTCCCTCCAACTCTTCCCCTGCCTAAGCCCTTAGCATCCCACAGTCTTAGCTTAAATGCCACTTCCCCATAGAGGCCTTCCCTGACTACCGTGCCTAAAGCAGGACCACAGCCACTCTGCACAGCTCTTACTGCTATCTGAAATTATCTCATTTACTCACGTATTCACTCTCCCCTTTAGAATCTAAGCTTCCTGAGGGACCTTGACTAACTTGCTCACTGCTGCATCATCAGTACCCAGGACGGTGCCCGGTGCACAACAGATTCTAAATTATTCATTTGGGGATAAATGATTGATCAGGAAATAATAAACGTTTCCTGAAAGGCCTTCATTATCTCCAGCCTCCATCCCTTAGGTGGTGCTATTTCTTTGGCTTTGCCTTGCCTCCCTCTGCCCCTCTGTTACAAAGTGCTGACACCTGTAGTCAGGCAGGCTCAAAGCGCCCTCTCCAGTAAAGTATCCCCTGTCCCCTATAGGCAGAAATCACTCCTGCTTCCTTTGCTCTGCGTTGCAAGGCCACCTACTTCAACATGACTTTACTCTTTGTTCCTGGAAATTCTTGCCTAGAAAGGTAAGGCTAGAAACCAGAAAATAACCTCTCTGTTGGCTTCAGAAACTTCCCAGAATCAATTCCAACAACCGACAGCTCTCAGGCAGCTCTCCTCAGAACAATGCTTTGCCCAACTAGGCAATGATTCACTTATCAAAGCAAGGGTTTTGCACTGTGTTCACAAATCTCTTGAACATCAAGATCAAAAAATTTGCCAAATCCCAATCAATTACTCACACTGAATGACCCATCTTAAACCACTCGTTCGAGTTCCAATCTCCAAATCTCGAGCTGAAGGGTCTCCTGAGGCCCTGTGACGGTGGCCCCCTCCCTTACATTCGGCTTTGTGTGATGGACACGTTACTCTGATGCCTTAGAGGCGATCTAGCAGCTGAGAGCCCACTCGTGCGACCACTGTGGTGTCGAGCACCAGTCTTCTGTATCTGGTGAATGATGAAAGAATGAGGAGAGAATGAATAGCTTACCCACTCCGCCTTCTCGAAGCGGCCGAGCCGGAAAGAAAAAAATGGCACAGTCCTTCCTTTCAGCGGCTAGGCCTTATTTTAGAAGCCAGAACAGACAGCCGGAACCCGTGGGCGGCGCCCGAGCTTCCCCCAGACCCAGGCCAAGGAAGGCTCCGCGCAGCGGGCCGACCTCTCTCCCTTGCACGCAGGGCGACGGCGCTGGACCGCTACGGGCTGCAGAAGGCGGGCTTCACGCACGTGCTGAACGCGGCCCACGGCCGCTGGAACGTGGACACGGGGCCCGACTACTACCGCGACATGGCCATTGAGTACCACGGCGTCGAGGCCGACGACCTGCCCAGCTTTGACCTCAGCGTCTTCTTCTACCCAGCGGCCGCTTTCATAGACGCTGCGCTCCGATACGATCAAAGTAAGAGGCCTTCCGCCCGCCCGCGGCCCCGCCCCAGCCCCGCCCCACCCATCCTGGTGGGAGGAGGCATCTGCACACTTTAAGCTCCCCTCGCAAATCCTGCTCTGCGGGGGCGATGTGTTGGTGAGGGTGGAAATGTCTGATCCAGTGCAGGCTGTGAGCTCCACTGGACTTGCTGGTGGGGCTCGGTTCTTGGTTGCTGCTGTAGGGAAATTCGAATCAGGAGGTCTCAGAGGAGGGGCCTTTGGCCTGATTCTCTCTTCCTTAAGGCACAGCAGCCATCCTTCGAACACCTGGGGTGGTTTGGAAGCCCTCAAAGCTGGAATGTGGCTGAGACACTAATTGTGCATGGGCCCAAACCAGACTAATACCCAAGGGCCTGGACACCAGAAAACCCTCAGGGAGCTGACTTGAGTGGGAATCTAGCAGAGACTTCGAGTTCTCCTACCAGACTACCAAGCCCATACTTCCCCATCGTCCACCCTGAGTCATTTTTCAGTCTGGCGAACCCTCCTGTAGAAAGCTGATCTATTCTTTATAAGTGGCAAACTATATTTGAGGATCTGAGTTTTGCACCCATGATGTCCACGTTTTCCAAGTTTAATTAACCATCTTTTAAATCACAGTGCTAGTCTTTGTGCTCAAAATGCAGTTTTAGCTGCTCCAATCCAGATAAGCTACAAGACTATTTTGGAGAGAAGGGCACAGTGTAGGTATGCATCCAGGTGAGACAATATGTCATGACTGCTGCAGACTGTACTTCAGTGGCATTCCCTAGAGACCAGAGAGACTTCAACTCCCAGACCTGTGCTCTGACTCCAGCCCCATGTGTCACACTCTGCTGTGGGGCCATCACATAATTTATGGTATACAGTTTTACTGAAAGCCTTTCTTGCCACAAGTGGTTGGGGATTACAAGGTTCATTGACTGACCAACTGGCCGCTTCAGGAACTGCACCCCGCAGCTGGGGCTAGGCCAGGTCTGCTGGGCAGTCCCAGACCTTGTCATTACTTTGGTTCAGAAAGCAATGTCACAGTGAAAAAAAAAAAAAGCTGAAGTGCTTGTCTTAGGGGATGCCTCATTTCAAAGTCATCCTTTTTATGAGTCTATTTATGGACCATCTTTTGTGTTAGGCACATTCTGGGTTTCCAAGCAGGATCAAAAAGCAACTGGACTCTGACTCATCACCATGAGGTGAAATTCGCCTCACAGTATTTGAAGTTAACTGAAAACAGATTTGACATGAAAAAACAAAAAGCTCCAACCGCACAGTCCTTCAGATTCTGTTTAATGTGCTCACTTGCCATTACTGTATCTTCAACCTTCCCCTTAATGATAGGGGTCTGGCTGGCTTTGGAGAAGACAGGGCTGGGTTCAAATTCATGCTGCACAACTTACTAACACTGTGACTTCTCTGAGTCTTGGTTTCTCCATCCGGTGATGAAAATATTTACCTTGAAAGGCTATAATGAGGATCAGCAGTAACCCACACAAAGCACTTAGCGTAGAACCTGGTGCACAGCAGGCTCTCAGATGTGTTTGATAAAGAGAGGTCGTGCACCGTGAAGCGCATAACCGCTTCAGCACGTGCACATCAGCATAATAAAGTTCCCAATTCCCGAAGGAGGAAAAAGGAAAAGAGACATTCCAACTTTGAACTATAGTGGTACGAACCTGACCGCTTGCCAGGTTCCCGACACAACATTTTAGAGCCTGCCTCCACTGCTGGATTAGGAAAGAGTGGGCTTTGGGGTCATATGTTTAGGCCTGGGCAGAACGCAGAGCACCCATGTGGAGATGTCAGGCTGGTGTGGCTCATGACAGGTAGACTGGTGGTGTGAAGCGCCTAGCAAAGAAAGGGTCAAGAGGGAAAAGTGTACACCCGGGTCAGAGGACACGCAGATAGTGTGGGCCTAGCAGGACAGGAGCCTGTTGCCAGGTGAGAGGCTGGACTCCCTCCTCTGTCCCTTTGCATCTGCCTCTAAAGATGTCCTCAAGCTGAGGGCTCAAACACCAACGCTTCAGGACCAGGCCTAAACGAATGAAGCTGGCTGCATGGAAGGCTGTGGGGTGTGTTAGAGGGTGCTGGTGGCTATGCTGAGAACCCCATGTCCCCTGCAAAGGGAACAGCTGCTGCTCAGTCCCAGCCAAATTTGTCTTGTGAGACTCAGTGCCAATGTGGTGGATGTGACTTTTCAGGAAATCTGGATTTTTAACATAAAATCACTCATTTTTTAAGTGTTGGCAACAAATTTAAAATGTCCTACACTGGAATTTGACACAACATTGTAAAATGATTATAAATCAGTAAAAAATGTTAAATAAATAAATAAAATGTCCTAAAATGCTGCAAAGGCCAAAGAAACAAACAAAACCCAGTGGCTGTCACCTGTGCCCAGAGTGATCATGGTAACAAAATAAAATGCCTGTCAGCTCAGCAGTGACTTTGTCACAGACTCCACACATGGAGGTGGCGTGTGCCCAGCCTTCACAGCACATGCAGTAGGCAGCCTGGCTGGGTCCAGTTGTACCCTGCAAACCCAGGGGACACTGCTGTAGCATTTTAGAGCCAGACACACTCGTATGTTTCTTATTATACTCTTGATGTAAGAGGTGTTGATGGACAGTCTGGCCAAAAGGCAAGACATGCTGTTTTCTTCTCTCTGTCTTTTCTGTTCTTCCTTGGCTGGTTTCAGCCTAGTGTGCACTGCTTCCCACCCCAGCCCCTCACAGCCAGTCTTGCTCACTCCTTTTGAAAAGCATTCCCTGTGATACTGCAGAGCCGTACTCGTGGTCTGGAATCAGCCCCATGGGGCGCACTCCTACCTCTGCCCTACCGGGATCTGACCCTTCCAGAAAAACTCACCAGGTAACATCAGTCACCCCTGAAAAATCTTAGAGATGATCTAGTCCAGTGTTCTGCCCTGAGAGCTGGGAACACTGAAGCCCGAGGTGCCAAGTGATGTGCTCAGGGTCGCAAAGCTAATCAGAGGCCAAAGGGAGTCCGTTCTGTCACTCAGGCCTTGCAGAAGGGTCCTTTGCCCTTATTTTGAGCATCTGGTGACTCTGCTGTAAATGAAGTTACCAAATATCATGGAAGGTGAGACAGTCAAGCTGGTTATAGAATCTAAAAACCTGAACTTGTCACTCTTCATCAGAAAAAGAAGTCCTGACAAAATACTGCCCCTTCTGGCCTGTCTTCACTGCTCCTCACACGGCATCCTCACAGCTGAATTACTGTGGTTTTAATTTAATGAAATCTTGGAAGAAATCTCAGGGCAGATACCAGGAGGCTCTAAAGATCAGAATTGGGTATCACCACTTTCTCACTTTCTTTTCTTTTTCTTAACCAAACAGTCCCTAGGCTGCTTTTGAAGCCATCTTAAAATCTATTATAGATAAGGGAGGTATGAATAAGTAAGTGAAGTCTGCATTGAAGGCTGATTCTCCGGTGCTTCTAAGTTCTAACCAGATCAGATTTTCAGAGCCTTTTAAGGGTCTCCTGACCCACTGCAGCACACACAGGCCTGCCCCTGACAGTTCTAAAACACACAATGGATCCTTTTTCTGAGGACTTCCACGTGTGCAGAACTATTCTGGGCGAGGTATGAACTCTGCCTTTGCAGGTTCCAAGGTAGCAAGTGGAAGACAAAGGGCACCCCCTAAACCAAGGAAGTGGGGTGAGGTGAGTTGGTGAGTAACAGGCTTGGCCTCCATGTCTGATCTGAGTGACGAAGGCAGACCTTCTGGTCACCAGTAAAAACATGCCATTAGGGAGCAGCAGAGATTCTGGATTTGGGTTTTCTTCATAAGATTGTGGGAATTCACCTTTTGGTAAAGGCCAAAGGAGAAAGATTTAATTGAAATCATCATTTCTCAAATGAAGATTTGTGGCCTATCAGAGGGTCGTAAAATCAATTTAGTGGCTACGACCAGCATTTCTTTAAAAAAGAAAAACTGACTAGGTTAGGAAGGAATAGAAGACATCAGCATGCATGGCATGGAATAAAATCACGAATTACTTTGTGACACTCTTGTCTGATACACACCCATTTGTGATACCCCTGGAGCATCCAAGGGCTCTGGTGTCAGGTTGCCTGAGCTTGAATCACGATTCTGCCACTTCCTGGCTGTATGACTTGGACACATCACTGCTCTGCACTTCAGCTTTCTCCTCTGTAAATGTGGGGTTACTAACTTTATCTGCTCCATCGGATTGTGGTGAGAATTGACTACAATGAACACATAAAGTACCTGGAAGATATGGTGGGGTGGCATAAGCCCACGTATGTTGTTAGCTGTGAATTTCATGACTTCAGGGGAGGGCAGGAGGCGAGGGTTCACACAAAAGAGTTTGAAAGCCACTAATCTGGAAAATGCCAATGCTGGCAATGCTGCCTTGGCTCCAGACCCTCACTCTCCCTGGCATCTAACTCAGAGAGAGCCTCCTGCTTCCTCTGGTGTGGGCCGTGCTGGGAACTTGCTTTCTCTTCTGAACTCCCCTAAAAGAAGTTTTTCACCATCCAACACTGGGCCCCAAAGGGTGGTGCTTAGCAGAGCCACAGAGCAAAGAGGGAGCAGTGGCCTGAGTGTCTGGGGACAGGCCCTCTGCCTCAGGGAGGCCCACCACATGCACAGGGCTGACAGTATTAGCGCTGCTGTCGTAAAAGCAGAATTCAGCTGGGAGGAATTCCATCTGGAGCAGAGCACCCCCATCTCCTTTCCCCTGCCTCTCCCCAACCCTCCCTTCCCCCCTCCTCTCCTCCCCCTCCTCCCACTTTACAGACTTCAGGCTCCCCAAGGACTTAATGAACTACAGCTTTCGTCTGTTTCAAGTCTTTAGCCTTGACAGAAAGAATTACCCTTTTTGCCAGGGGAGGAAGAAACGCTTTAGTTATCAGCAGAGCTGGCAAGGGGCCAGGAGGCCTCTGGAACAGTCTCAGGGGATTAGAATGCCAGAGGAAGACATTCCACTCCAGGAGCACAGGCATGCCCACAAGAGCCGGGCCAGCCTTCCCTGAACCCCAGGCAGCACTAGAGAGGCCGCCCTGCTTCTTGCCCTCTGGCCTGTCCGGCCAAGGTGCCAAGGGAAAGGCTCAGCGGCAGGGATGGGCCACCTGGTTAGTCTGCAGAGATTCGTGAAAATGAATAGTGGTAAAAGTCATAGTTCTTTATGGGGCACCTTCTGTGTGTGTGTGTGTGTGTGTGTGTGTGTAGAGGTCACTGATGGGGGTCCTCACTGTCAGGCAGGGTGCACAGGACTCTCTGGCCAGGGTGGGTGGGGAGAGAGCATCCCAGTGCCTGGCATCCGGCCCTCTTGGATTTCTCATGCTGCTGCGGCTGCTGATCGTCACTACTGTCCTGGGCGTGGTCCCGAGGGGGGTCAGCGTAAGAGGAAGGCAGGGGAGCACGTCCACTCAGAAGTGTTCTTTGCCAAGCTTTTCTCACCTCCTTCCAGTTCTCCATAAACTCAGCGACATCCACGAGTGTCTTCTTGATCGTCCTTCTGGGCCTCGAGCCTGAGACTCAGGAACAGGACAGCATTGGGGTCACACAGCTCAAGCTACCCCAGCAAAACCTACCCCAGCAAAGAGCTCCCACAACCACAGGAGGGGGCCACCACTGGGATGACAGTGGTGACAGTGCTGGGGACAGCCAGAGGGGCTAATCTATTACTTCCTGTTCCCAGAGTACAGGCACCAGTAGCCACCACACAGTAGGGCCTCAGTAACAAGTTGCTTAGAACTATTTCCAGCGATGGCACCATCTTTCTGGGTGAAATCTGGCAAGTCATTTCACCTCTCTGAGCCTGTTTCCCCATCTGTAAAGCAGGGATGAGGATAATGAAACTGGGAAGGTTGTATTAAGGATGAAATGGGATAAAGCGTGCTGATGCCCTAGGTGAGCTCTAGAGCGCCACCCGATGGAGGAGTGAAGGATGGAAAGCTGCTTCTCATCGGGCTCAGCAGTCGCCATTAAAGTGGCCAAAGGGAGCCTTTTTCTTCTTGAGATTCTTCTAGATCTCCAGTTTTCAAACTTTATAGTCTCAGATCCCTTTTACATTCTTAAAAATTATTGAACGACTCAAAGAGTTTTTATTTATGTTGGTTAGATCTACAAATATTTACCCTATTGGCAATAAAAACTGAAAAATTTTTAAATATTTATTCATTTAAAAATAATAAAGTAAACCCATTGTACATTAACACATGTTTTCATGAAAAATTGTATCTTCCAAAATAAAGTTAGGGAGGAGAGTGGCTTTATTTCACATTTTTCGCAAATCTCTTTGACGTTAGGCTTATTAGAATTCACATGGATTCTTACAACTGCTTCTGCATTCAACCTGTTGTGATATGTCGTCTTGGTGGAAGTATATGAAGACAATCCAGCCTCACTCAGATATGTGGTTGGAGAATGAGGGATATTTTAATGGCCTTTTCAGATAATGGTGGATATTCTTCTTTGATACTATACCAAAACTTGACAAGTGATAGCTTCTTAAAGACTAACTGTGACATGGAATCTGAAACCATATCAATAAACTTCATACTCTGTTACATGAAAAGCCATTGGTCTGTCTTGCACTTTTGAATGAATTTTCTTACCCGTGCAGAATCTTGTAACATCTTATGTTGATCATGTGGAAAATATTGGTTCACTAAGTTTCGCTGGTCTTCCACACGTTAATATTTTTCATTGTATATTATGAAAAAACACATTTGTTAATATCACCGCCAATCTTAACAGAAAAATCTTAAAAGTATTATGAAACTGACAGTCTCACAGTGGTAGATACAAGTTTTCCAAAAATCTAATTTTTTTGCTCGAAAGCTTGCATTTCATCACTGGCAACAGATACTGTCGATGGTTTAGTTTGATGTAATAGGCTCACTTTGTTCACTTTTGCCAAATACGCAAGTTTGAATTACCATGGTATTTCTGTCACTCACTCTTTTAAGTAAAAATGGTGTTTCATGGAACAGTGGCTAATTCAGCCTGCAACTCAATCTCCCATAAGGTTTTCCTTTAGATAACAATTGTCCTTTGGTCTGCAGCCAAAGTGCTTTATACGTACATCCCATTTCATCACACAGGATATTAGGAAGTGTAACCAAGGGCTGAAATTTGATCACGTTAATTTTCACTGCTTCATCAAGGATATTCTTAAGGGAAATTGGCTTGGTTTTTTTTTTTCCCCGAGAATGCTTGGTGGTGAATGCCATGATTCCTAGTACAGTCTGGTGCCTCTGCCTTGCTTCACACTAAGGCACCAGCAGCTCTGCCCATAGTTGCCTTTGTACCATCAGTGCAAATGTCAACACGGTGGAGGAGGCAAGTATCACCATAGCACTCTTTTGAAAATAATGTTAACCCCATAGATCTCCTGAAAGTGTCTTGGGAACCCCCAGAGTCTTGGATCCTGCTTGGAAAACCTCTGGTCTGGATGACAGTTTGGTAATCTAAGTTGTAAGAATATTCATCCCCTGGTTTTACCACATGACATACTAAAACTATTTTATTTTATTTTTTAAATCTGACTGTGTGATTTTTACTGAATTGGTTTTGCTCATGGCTGATCTGCTCTGCCGCCCCATCTGACAATTGAGGAAGTTGAGGCTCCAGAGGCTGGGTGACTTATCCCACACCCAGGTGGTTAGTAGCAGAACTGAGTCTGGGGCCAAGGCCTGCAAGAGAGTAGGCAGGGGTTCTGCAGGCTCCTGAGGCCACGTGGATGCGCGCAGACTCCACGGAGCAGATGCACCCTCTGTCTCCGCAGCGCAAAGGGCCTTTGGGGGCTGTGGGGAGCTCTCTGCCGATCCGAGGACGAATGCAGCAGCACTGCAAAAGGTGTAGAAAGCAAGCATTCCTCGGAGTCCACCTTCAGCCATGGATGGGACGGAGTGCATCCTGTTTACAGTGGATTACAGTTCATCCAAACAGAGGAACTCTACGCAGCCACGAGAAAAAATAAAGAGAGAACTCTTCACAGACTGATATACAAAAGTCTCCAAGGTATATTGTTAAATGGAAGAAGCAAGGTGTACAAAAATGTGTAAAGCTTACTACCTTTTGGGCAGGAAAGAAGACAAAAAAGATGATTTTCCTTGTCTATGCACAGATGCTTCTCTGGAAGAGGAAGTTGGTAATACTTGTTTCCTTGGGGAACTGAGGAGCTAGGTGGAAGGGGGGCTTTCCAATGGGCATCATTTTGTACCTTCTGAAATTTGAACCCTAGTGGCTGCCCTATTCAAAATAAGTAAGCATTAAGTAAATAAATACTATGGCTATGAATATGTTATAAATATAAATCAATTAAAAGTGAACATTAAACTCAAAGTTATTTCTCCAGCACCCTGCTGGAGTTCTCACTTGGAGGTGCTTTGGCAGGTAGTGTAATAGAAAAGATTCCATATTTGATCTGTTCCTTTGGCTTTAACCCTGTGCCCTGTTTCCTAGGCTTAGTCTTGCTAGCTCTAGACCTTTTGTAAAAGAATGTTGCCTTTAGCCTGTCTGGTAAATTGGAGAGCCCATTCTCAAGACTCTGACCTTTAAGGATATTAACACTTTTGCGCTTATATAAAGATAACAAGTTGCAGAATAGAAAATAACGTTTGTTTTGTTAGAGTTTTTATAGGGACACCATGACCTGACTCATGTGGACAGCTGCAAGAACAAAGAATTCCTACAGCAAGAAGTTCGCAACAACCAACCACACACCCTCCCCTTTTTAGTATAAAAACAGCCTTAATTCTGACTTGGGTAAGATGGTTCTCCAAGACATTAGTCTGCCATCTTCTTGGTCTGCCGGCTTTCCAAATAAAGTCGCTATTCCTTGCCCCGACACCTCTTCTCCAGATTTACTGGCCTGTCATGTGGCGAGCAGAGCAAGTCTGGACTCGGTAACAGTAGGAAGCATTGGTTTCATTACCTCCTCTTCCTTACCAAGGCAACAATAATAACATCTGTGATTTACTGAACTTTTAATACGCACCAGTCTGTACCAAGTGCTTTGCACTAGCTGCCTTCACAGCGACCTTAAGAAGAAGATGCTGATAGTATTCCCATTTTACAAACGGGGAAGCTGCGGTTCCCCACCACTCAGTAACTTGCCCAGGGTCCTACAATAGTGGGGGAGAGAATCAGGATTTGAGCAGGCTCTGCCTAAGCACCCCTCACCTCCTCCCCACGTATGCCCGAACCGCCAGGCCACTTGCCTACCAACGTGGGTTTTTCTTCTCCCCACTCCATTTCAGATAAGATCCTGGTTCACTGTGCCATGGGCCGCAGCCGGTCGGCGACCCTGGTCTTGGCCTACCTGATGATCCACAGGAGCATGACCCTGGTGGATGCCATCCAACAAGTGGCCAAGAACCGCTGTGTCCTCCCCAACCGGGGCTTTCTGAAGCAGCTCCGGGAACTGGACAAGCAGCTGGTGCAGCAGAGACGACAGGCCCAGCACGGCGAGGATGGTGAGAAGGCTGGTGACAAGGAGATGTAGGGCCCCCCTCGTGGATCCTAGAGAATGGCGGGGGAGGGCTGAAAATTACTCTGGCCTGTGGCTTTGTGTGTCACAGTGAAGGGACGTGAAACCAAAGCTTGACTCTTTCCAAACCATCTTAAACTTCCCGGGTGCAGGCTGGTGAACAGGGAGGGGTTCACAGCTGCCTCTGGGACAAGTCCAGTGCTTGGCTTCATGGCAAAATGGGGCAGCCGGGCTTCCCAGGAGAACTGGTTACAGATGAGCATGCAGTTCTGCACAAAGGCACTGTTTTGTTTTGTTTTGTTTTTGTAAGATGGAAGCAGAAAAGGACTTTAAAATGTGTAGACATTGTGCTGTGATTAAACATTTAGCTTTGTCTGAATGTCATACTCTTAAAAAATAAGTTTAAAATACAACTTTATTTTCTAACCACAGAAAAGGGCCTGGGAGAGCTGTGTTTCAGGAGAGTCTGCCGTGCTTGTTAGTGAGTCTGCTCTCTGGGGGACCTGCATTTCCTTACTGGTTCCTGTAGCCTCTTTTCGATGGAATCCCAGACTCAGGTCACCATCCGTAGATGCTGCATTCTGGAAGCTGCAGAAAACAATTCATCCAGTAGGGGTGGGAAGTGGGGGTCCTGAGCCCCTGATCAGAGGCCCCTACTTTAGGCACCCCACCCTCCTCAGGGAGCCAGGGCTGTTTAGAATCTTAGCCAGAGCTGACTACTCAGAAAAATTCAGTGAATTCTGGTAAATCTGGACAAGAGTTTGATTTTATAATTTTGGAAGGAGACCCCCTTTGGGGGACCAGAACTCAGGGAAGCGCCTTGGATTTTGATTCTAGTCAAAGCAGCACAGTCTTGTCTTCAGTCACAGCAGAAAGTATTTGCAAATGTGTTTGCCCTGGAATAGGAGAACCAGGCAGCCGGGTGAACTCAGCTGTAGGTTCCCCAGCCCCTGGGAGCTAATAAGCCAGTCACATGACTGTGTGACGCTCATTCTTGAGGAGAAAACAGCAGCAGGCACCCAGCGGGTAGAGATGGCTTCTAGAACCAGGAACCGGGAACCAGACACAATCCAAAGAGAGCTGCTGATGGGGATGCCAGCAGTCAAGGACCAGCAATCAGAGCCACCAGAAAGCATGATAAAGGCCTATGGGGAATACATGAAAAGCGGCCTAGTCCTCCAGCTTGGTTGTGGCTTTCAGCAGAATGAAGGAGGGCATTCTTGATGGAGGGAGGATTGTGTCCAGGGGCTCAGCAGCGATGTAGAGCCACCTGAAGGTGACCCCATGACCTTAGGTGGGCTGTCCTGCTTTTGTGCCAGAGGACAGGGCCTGGGGCCTGGGACCCTGTGGCCAGTAGGGCTTCCCGGGACTGCCCAGGATCTACTGTGGGAGAGTCACCTTGGCCCAAGGGGGAATCAGGTCCTCACAGTGACTCAGATTTGGGTGTGAGCGGAGCCATATACACAGGCTTTTGGGAAAAAGATGTAGAACAAAAAGGACTCTGGCGTCATAGTGGCCCCATGATAGGATACCCCCTCTAAACTCAGTCATTTCCTGGGTCTGATCTAGTCTGCATCCAGAAAGACATAAATATTTCCATTTTAATGAAATGTTACCTTTATGTACCACAGTAAAGTGTTTACATTTAATACTCCATATGTAGGAGGGAGAGGTCCCCGCCGGTGTTCTCCTGAGCTCCTTTGGCATTCTTGCTCCACCTTCCCACGTGCTCCCACCTGTGTATGGGGCTGAGTCCTGCTGAGGAAAGTAGAAGCAGGGAACTTTGTCAAGTTGGAGGTCTGGTCTCTTCAAGTTGGCTCCTGGGAGCCGGGGGTAGGGACGCAGGTGCTGAGGTGGAGCAGCACCGGGGACGGGCTAGGGGAAAACCCACTTAGATGGGGTGGTTGAGGAAGACCTGAGATGGGGTGAGCTGAGACTTGAAGGAGAGCGCCTTCCCACCAGGGAGGGAACATTCTAGGCACAGGGGGACAGCACAGATGAAGACCACGAGATGTGTTTCTGAGGAAAGGCTCCCAGTGGTGTGTTTGAGGCCATCTGTGATGCTGGAGCCTGTGCAAGAGAGGGGAGGTGGGTACAGAGGGTACTCCAAGTGCAAAGAACCACAGAAAGGTTTTAAGCAGGGAATGGTACCGTCTATGTTTTACCAAGATCACCCTGGAAAGAATGAAAAAAAAAATCAGCCTGGCAGAAGTATGGAGAATGAATTGTAGGGAGACACAATGACTAGCAAGGAGGTTGTTGAACTGTGGACAGGAAAGAGGAAGACAGTTTGGACTAAGACAGTGCCAGGGCGCAAGCATTCAAGATTACTGATCCTGGAGAAGAGACAGAGGCTGCTGGGATGGGTAGGGAATTGGAAAAGATTCGGTTTCGTTTCTGTCCGTAGTGTTCTATTACTGAGATGCGGTTAACCAGGGCAGAAATCGGGGAGGGGCTGGAGGTCACCAGTTATGTGGTGTCTAAGACATACAAAAGGTGTCCCGTGTCACTTCACCTTGAATCTAGGGAGAGCGCAGAGGAATGTTCACTACGAAATATGATTCTAGGTGTTATCTGTATAGACAACATAGTACTGGGCGAGATAGTGAAATAAAAGAGGGAGGAAGCCCCAGCCCTGGGTGTCTGAGGGAGATCCAGGAAAGAGGATGGAGGCGGGAGAAGGAAAACCAAGAGTGTGGCATGTCGGAAACCTGGGTACAAAGAAACTGAAGGCACTGACTGCTTCCTAATTTAACAGCACTTGTACCCTGAGTATTGACTGTAAACCAGTACTGCTTGTAACAACAAAGTAACCCCTATTTGTATAGGGCTTAATGGTTTTAAAAGCATCATGTGTTCATTAGCTAAGGCTTTAAATCAGAAAGAGGACAAGTTAGGGCCTTTCCACAGAGTAAAGTGTTCTAGGAAAAAAGAGTTGTGATTGAGCTCACAAATTTTAGCTGAGTGTTTGGGCAATTAAGTTAGCTTCTTTGAGCCTCCATCTCATGTGAAAATTGGAGAAACGGGCCCATTTCCTGCACAGGGTGGGTGTGTGGATCACGAGGGAGGGCTGTGTGTGAGTCATTAGTTCTTATGACGTTATTTGTGATATTATTTGTGAGCCATTATTTCTAAGATGAAACGTCAGTGAGAAAAACCAATGCCTTCCTTCTGGGGTAGGCACCACACCCACTGTTAAAGAGGAAAGGCTTAAGACACAACAATGTAAATCAACTATACTTCAATTAAAACAAAAAAGTAAAGGCTAGCAACTGACAACCACTTAAGACTCTTAAAAATGAAAGAACACATTACTGGGTTTAAAAGATGTGGCCTGCTAATGAATCTCAACTCAATGGTGACTATTTCAGTCCTGATGAACCCAAGTTCCTGTTTTCCAGGGTCCTTGGTGTCACATGTAGGTATGAGTGGATTTCTCTAAGGGAGAGCAGGTAAGCACAGAGCAGCGGGCAGGGTGTTCTGAGGCCACTTCAGATCATCAGATTCTCCCCACCTCAAGCCTTTCTGTCTGTCCATGAATGCGAGGTCTTGGAGCCAGTAGAGGGGCTCCCGGAACTGGCTGTGCTGCGATACCTAGGGAGACTGTGAAACACCAGGAGTCCCCAGTGCTGTTCTGAAATTCTGGTGTGGCAGGTCTGGGGCAGTGACTGGGGCTTGTCCTCAAGATCCCCGGAGGACTGCGAGGCCGGCGGAGTGTGGGAAGCCCCGGCGCCACACAAACCGTAGTGTGGTTACAGGCCATTGCGACACACCGAACACAGAGGACAATCTCAGTCCCCAAAGAAGCTTACTTAACCCAAGAGGAAAGGGACTAAATCTAAGAAGGAGGTTTCAAGGTCAGGCCTATGGGAGGTTCTGTATCATTTCCCATCAGCTGGTTAGCAGGTCCCCACCCCACCTCCCAGGCAGGGGCAGCCTCTTGCCTCACGTGCGGATCCACTGGGCTAAGGTCTTGCAGCTCCCAAACTGACTGAGCA